CGCCGGGCCGCGTGCAGGTCGCGCCACGCCAGCCAAACCGGTGCTCGGGTGGGACACCAACTTGGTAAGTTGTTTGCCTGGGTGTTTGCCTAGTTGTCACGAGGTGCCACGTATCACAATTTCACTGGAGAGCCAAATCTGCCCTCATCAATAACCATACTTGAAGTGCAAGCCACAAAAGGGACATTATTAACAATGCAACTCATAAAGGCACATTCTATTTAAAGAAATAAATAAACTCAATGTCTACTAACTTTGTTATAAGAAAACCATAGATATCCTACCATCCTAAACACCTAATCAGTAATTCTAGTAAAATGCAAAACCCTTCAATAGAAGTGCATAAATCTTTCAGAGCAAGAACCTAATCCATCAGAAAACTGCTTGCACCCACACAAAAGCCTTGATTGCCTTATAAAGTCCTTCAACTTCTTTTTCAAAAATTCCAACACACCACAGAAGAGATCACATCAAAAAGATAGAGGTCAAGGAAGATGAGCTCCTAGTAGGCATAATCAACCTTATCAAGATGACTATTAATCATTATATTCAATTCAAGCTTTTAAATGCAAATATCTAAAGAAACTTTGCAATTCTTTTTTCATCAACCTCTAAGAAATGACATCCTTTTTTATGCAAGGCAATCCAATAGATAAAAAATTTCAAGTCCCTTAAATTTCAACCACACTTTTTTAGGAAGTGTATGTTGCTACCTCTTTAAAGGCGACAAAGTAGTGCCATTAATTCGAGAGACTTACAAATAATAATATAATTTTCTATCAACAACTATGCAAACAATTTGCAAACAGTATATGGATCTGCAACGGAAAACACTAGATAAAATTATTTAAGTTAAGCTAGCCGTGTTGCAAGTTGCTGAGGCTACACTGCAATTTGGTTTTCAATTTTCCTTACTGGCATTAGTCTTTTATCAAGCAAGATAAAACTTATAATTCTATGAATTCTAAGTTAAAGGTAATTGGAATGTAATTTGGGACCAGATTTCTGAGAAAAATAATTATGATGGATCCATAAATGAGCTCCAAGTTGATAGTGCGCAATATAAGATTAAATCCATACAAAATGATACCTTAAAAGATGCCTTGAGCCTCCTCTCTGGATGCCGCTCAGGAGGAAGATTATCCGAAACGGCCATGCGAGCAATGGCTTCCTCGACGGAGTGAGCCTCGATAATAGAATCGTCGCGATTGGTATTGGAAACGAGCACCATGCGCTCATATTCCTCTTCGTTGGCGGTGCGAGTCTGCCTCTTCTTAGCCTCCTCAGCGCGCTGAAGGATCTGAAGCCTCTCCTCTTGACGACGACGCTGGAGCTCCGCCTCGGTGACCTTGGGGACAGGGATAGAGACTCGGTTGGCCTTCTTGTCAGGCTTCCTACAGGCCTTCTCGAGATCTTTCTCTTCAAGCTCGGCAAGACGTCGAGCCTCGGCCTTGCGGGCAGCAGCCTCTGCACGTTTCTCGGCCTCGTCTTCTCGTTTTTTGGCTGCTCGAGATTTGGTGCCCTCGGCTTCTCTCCAGTATTGGTCTTCCTTCTCGCAAGCCTCTCGCTCCTTGCGTTCCGCCTCTGTAGCGCTCTTCCGTGCCCTAGCAGCCTCTGCTTTACTGTTTATTCCCATCTTCTTCGGCATCTTTGCTCTTCCCACGCTCGCTCGCTCTCTCTCCGGTTGAGTCTCTGAATTTGCAGATTGCTGCCTGAATGCGGTGGTGGAAGTTGAAACCTGTTAGAAAGGGTCGATATGGCACTTCGTTCTCATTGCGAGAAACATCTACCGGGCAAACGGTATCCGATTGCCGAATTCTAATTCGATCCGTTTATAATTGTATCAAATATTATCCACCCTATCGTTAATAATCGGATCAAATATGGACCCACACTATCACATCCGGTTCCGGTATTTACCTAATTCGATTCGTTTTAAATAATATGTTCATACATATTTAAAATTCATATTATCTCTATAAAGAAATTGGTTTGAATGTCGTATTATTCTAAACTGTAGGTTCACCGTTCATGTTTTAGATAAATAATTTTAATTCATTTTGTTCATAAAATATAATATTTAAATCATTTTTAATTCATTTTATTAATATATTATAATATTTTGATCATTTTTAATTTAACTTATTTATACTATTTAATATCCGAATTATAATTTTAAATTCGATTCAAATCCATTATATATCCGATAGATAATACCACACAATTCTTGGATCTACCAATGTTCGAATAGATTCGATTTACATCTATGAATTTGGCTCAATGAATTTGTATACACATGGAAACATGTACTAATCTGTACTACTTTAAGAAGTATAAATATCCTTAAAAATATTTATGGAATTTTGTGATGACAAAATTTACCTTTTATATTTAAATTTATTGATAAAAAATGAGGGCAAATAGGGTAATTAATTATTGATATTAAATGAGTTGAAAAGATTTAATTTTAAGATATTCAATTATCTCTCACTAAATCCAACATTTAAGGTATTAATTTGCATTCATCTTCATTGAGACATATATTTAAGGCTTCTCATCATTAAATTCTATAATTAAATACATACATAATAAATTAATAATTTCATTAACATAAAAACTTATACTTTTAAAATCTAACCAGAAAAAATAGTGTTTTCATCTAGGTGGTGGTAAGAAATTAAATCATTTGGGTCAAATGGGTCAATCCATATTGTCACAATTAAATAATAAAATTCAAAAATATATAAAATGCAAAAAAAATATAAAAATTAAGAAAATAGAAACACTTTTAACATCATATATTTGACATATTAAACAATAATAAGTATGATAAACAATGTTTTAAAAATCAACCTAGAGGTTGACCTGCTTTTGCCTTTAGGTCATAGGTCATCAGTTCAACTGTCAAAGTCAAACGAGTCAAACCGCTCTTCGTCAACACTATGTGTGTGCGTAAAAATACATATTTTATCAATGAATAGTATAATTATCTTTTACATATATCATAGTTATGTTTTACATATATTACATACAATAAATGTATTGTATTATATTTATTTATGTTTTTTAATTCTGTTTTAAATTTTTTATTTATAAAAAATATTAAATTTTGCAATCAGACATCGGAGTGCAAAGTTATGGCTTTCAAAAGTTTGCACATAATTAAGTGCACAACCTGCAATTTGGCAATTGGGTCAAACGTGTCAATGGTTGAACTACCCAAGTTTGACAGTTTTTAATTAAAAGAAGGAATTCAACAAAACTAAACCTACAATCAAGGCCAAGTGACGGTTCAAACAGTTCAATCAGCCAGGTCAACAACAAGTTGAAAACATTGATGATAAATAAGAAGTGTTTTTATTAATGATGGAAATGAAATGTAAAATTTAAAACCAACTGGAAGTAAAACTATTTTCCTATTATACATAAGATATAATTTTATCAACAATGGAAATATAATACAAAATTTAATGTCAACTTAGAAATCAAACTATTTTTCTTTTTGGGTTGTGAGTTAGTGGTTTGAGTCAAATGGATTAATAAATGATATAATAGTTAAATAATAAAAAAATACAAGTAATCAAAAGAATATATAAAAAATTATATATTAATTATGCCAAACAAATATTAAGTGTGATGGGTAAAAATTATGTATATAATATAGAAGAAATATATAATTTAAAATTGATCCGAAAGCAAAGTTATTTTCTTATTTAAATGGTGGGTCAATGATCCAACTTTTCAAAGAAATTAATGATGTCATGATTGAATAATAAATATTTAGAAAAAGATAGAACACAAAAGATAAAAAAGTATAGAGTTTTGTCAAAGACATTTTGGAACATTTATAATTTATAATGTTATATAATCATCATATTAAATAAAAATAATTGTTAAAATAAAAATTATTTTTAGTTAAGACAAAAATGGAATACAAAATTTAGTAGTAGTAGTAATAATTGTTATTGTAATTTAAAATTTCTGCAAGTGCAAATTTAGTACAAGTATTTAAGTTTATTTTTAATCATATTGTTACTTTTATTAATTTTCAATTTATATCCTAACTATGATATATATAAAATTCAAGTAATTAATATGAAAAAAAAATCATACGTGCAACAAATGTGCTTAATTACTAGTCATAGTTAAAAGGGTAAAAAACTTAAACCTCCACTAAAGTTTAAGATAAATACTAATACCTCCCTTTTAGTTTTTAATAGAACTTAAACCTCCCTTGTTAGAATAAGTGGGAAATGAAGAATTATCACTTTTTTTTTTCATGGAAGGATAAAATTACATCAAGAGGGACTCAAACCCATTCAAGACAAAACCTTGAGTCTCTAACTAAGACACCAAGATAGAGCTAGCTTATTTGCATCACGACTAATATGATAAAAAGCTAAAGAATTGGGTAAATAAGAGATTTAGGCCATCTTTGGGAGTGCTTAAAAAAAGTGCTTATTTGGACGGGGACTATACCATTAAGCACTTGTTAGTGTTTGGGAAATAAGCCTGAAATAAGTGCTTATTTTAAAAATAAGGTCTTATTTTTTAAGTCTAAATTTCCAGCTTTTTTAAGTGCTCATACAGTAAGCCCTTGTTCAATTTTTTTCTCTCATAATTGTCCCCACTTAATTTTTAAAATACCAATTATAACCCTTTTACAAAGGCACGTTTATAAAAGTAATTTTATGAAAGTTACTTTTACGAAAATAAAGTATTTTTACAAAAGCATTTTTACGAAAGTACTTTTATGAAAGTACTTTTACAAAATCACTTTTATAAAAGTAATTTTGTGAAAGTACTTTTATGAAAGCACTTTTACAAATGTACTTATATATGAAAGTACTTTTATAAAAGCACTTTTATGAAAGCACTTTCGTAAAAGTAGTTTTATGAAAGCACTTTTATAAAAATACTTTTATGAAAGCACTTTTATAAAAGTACTTTTACGAAAGCACTTCTACAAAAGTACTTTTATAAAAGCACTTCTATAAAAGTACTTTTACGAAAGCACTTCTACAAAAGTACTTTTATAAAAGCACTTTTCTAAAAGTACTTTTATGGAAGCACTTTTATGAAAACACTTTTATAAAAGCACTTTTATGGAAGTGATTTTATAAAAGCACTTTTATAAAAGTATTTTTACGGAAGTGTTATTATCAAAGTACTTTTATGAAAGCACTTTTGCAAAAGTACTTTTATATAAGCACTTCTATCAAAGTACTTTTATTCATTCACTTTAGATTGGATATTTTAAAAATTTGAAAGAAAATGAAGGACAAAAGAGTCACAATTGCTTATTTAAGTGCTTATTGGAGAAAAAGACCACCAAACACCCAATATAAAATAAGTGCTTATTTTTAACATAAGCACTCCTAAACATGGCCTTAGAATCACAAAAAAGGACAATTCAACCATGAATATGAATATTCCGTGTGTATTTCGTATGAACCTGATAACAATCTAATTTTTGCTAGTCATTAGAATGCACTTGTCCATAAATTTCTACACACTTTGAAGAGTTTTATACACTACTAGAGGAGACCCATGCGATGCATGGGAAAATGCAATCCATTTTGATGACAAAAAACATTAAAAATGTATAGTGATTGTCAATCACATACTAAATTTGTATAATTGATAAACCAAATAGAGAGGAGGATAATCATGTAAAATGAAACGAACATTGTAAAAATGTTGATATAATTGTAATATAATAATCTATCTAAAAAGAACAAATAATTCAAGTATGCGCATTCGTGTAAGAGAAGTTAATTTAGGTGTACCTCTTCACAACTTATAATACTGTTGAACCATCTTCACTCCTTCACTATTATCAAACCTATAAAATAAGAATCATAAAATCATTAGTTTAAAATTTGTTTGAAGAAATAATTGTTATATTTACAAATTAATCTATCACAACTTATTACTGACCATGATCTAAGAGATTCTTCTTCAATAATACTGGATTAAAAGATATTTGTGTATTTTTTTATAGTGGTAATAGTATGCCCTGCAATTATATCTCATATGTAAATCAATGGAAATTTAAAGCGATTATTAAATAAAGATAATATAATGTCACCTTTATAATGTATAACATTTATGTATCTAATTTTTGCTAGTCATTAGAATGTGCTTGTCCATAAAATTCTACACACTTTGAAGAGTTTTATATACTATACGCTTCTGTTGATTCTACATCAGCAATAAGAACAAGATGCACCCCAACCTCCATAAACTTCATCTAACAGCCCAACACCGATGCAGTCATAGCTACTTCCGCCTTCACTGAACTATCATAGTAGATTGTTATATCAGTATGATGTATAAACCTATCTCTTAACCTTTTGCCAAGAAATCATTCAAATTCTCAATCCTGGTACGTTCAATCCATTCATGATTCAACCACAAATTTATTTATTTATTTTGGGCAATGATTCAATCATTGACATAGAAACCCTCAGGATTGCCCACAAAATGATGCAGTTAGATTAAAAAAATCAGTCCAAACAATTCCCAAAATGGTGTTGTGCGGCCATTCTATCAACAAGCCAAATGCAATCATGTTTGGCCAAAAGCCAACGCTCGACCCAAATAAAAAGTGTGGTGGTGGTGTTGGTGAGAGGCAACCATTTGTGGATTGGAGATGTTAGTGGTTGCGTGGTACAAGGAGTGCAGACTTCTATCACATTTTTGGGTATGAGGTTGGCACACTAATAATGGAGTAATGGGTGATAATGAACATAATTGGGTTTTAGGAAAAAATAACCCCACATGATGTCAAATGCTAACGAATTTGGATGGAATATTAGCATAGGGGAAGCTTTTGTCTTATAAAGTCACAAGGCATGGAGTTCTTAATCCAATTTGAAAAGGAGGAGATGTTTTAGTATTTAGGATAAAAATGAAGGAAAGTTTAAGACTTTTATCCTAGTTAAAAACGTGTCGCAGTAACAAACCTACATATCAGAGGGCAGTTTTGGCTAGATATTTTTTGGAAATTTGGAAGTTTATGGTTATAAATGGCAATTCGTTGTACGAATTCAAATCGAGTTAGACCCAATTAATAAGGCGATCTGAAATCAATCAAAATATAATATTATTAAACATTGATATATGTTGATTTAATATGCATCTATTAACATTGGTTCAAACTTATTTTTAGTTTATTTTGTGGGTATTTGACATCAATGTCATTTTCTGAGTAAACAGCACCACATTAGAGAAAGTGGTACTTCAAACACCACCTTTGTTTGGTACCATTTATTCAAAATACAATGTTGCTTTACACCATGTCTTAGAAATCAGGAAAGTGTGGTCTAGAGTAACGCTATATTCAATGTTTTCTAAGAAAACAATGCATTGCTGCCAGTGGTGCAATGATGTGACATTATCTTGAACATTGGATGATAATGTAGATCAATGTTGAAAAAATTGCTGCCTGTACCTATACCAAATAAAATCAGTGTTGTTTCCTTAGAAAATGCCTACATGACAGTACTGGTTTCAAACAAAAAATAAGTACTGTTTTTTCAAAAAACAATACTAACAACTCAACATGCCCAACATCATTGAAAAAACAGTGTGATGTGATGCCAAACACCTACTTTATTAATGGTATTCTAATGTTTAACTTATATTAACCATGTTTAATATCCGAATCTGCTCTAAATCCAAAAGAATAAGATTTTAATTAAATTTAAATTTATAATAACAAAGACATTTGAGTTTGGGAGATTTGATTCGATCAATTAGAAGCCCTATTAGAAGTAGATTCATTTCCCGTTTGTAGGGCTTTTAGTACATATATATTTCCTTTTAGTGGCTTCTTCAAAACAACTTTATTAGATCAAGCCCTCCCAAATGGCTGGTCAATGCACGATTTCAGTCGAGGCACACGAAAGACAAAAAAAAAAAAAAAAAAAGAAGCAAAACGTGTAGTGAGGTGAGAAGCGTAGAATGCTCGATGTAAAGTTTGACGGACTATTAGTTCAAGCTTTATTTGAAATGGGTGGTCGTAGACATGGCTATGCCATATCAATGGACCATTATTCTTGTCCGATCCAATTCAATCCAATAAGAGAATCCTATAAATATCAAAATCCGAACCTAAAGCAAATAAGCAATTGGAAGTGGAAGCCAACCTAGCCTATGAATTCAGTACATGTGTGTGTATTTGGCCTAACCGTATGTCAACATTCAACACTTTTTTTTTCCATTTTTTGTCCGTTTTCATAGACAGCTTGAAATACTTTGCATACCACTGCTTAATTGATCCAGGAGACGCCCAACATCTTAGTCATAAAACTATAGCAATCAGCAGCTTCATCAATCTGCAATATTCAGGACAAATAACAATAGCCATCAGATCATGCCACGGAAATGAAATGAATTTCATGCAACAGCAAATAAATTCAAAGCAACCGATTACCAATTTCTGGGTAGGTCGCCCAGCTCCATGTCCAGCCTTACGGTCAATGCGACCAATTATTGGGTTGGTTTGTGGGCTCTTTTCCAAGCTTGTGCAGAGCACATATTGCATGGTCTGTGGGATGAAAGAAGACAAATTCCAGTATAAAGAAGAAAACAAAAATAAGAGCACAAGGATAATGCATACAAGTATTTATGCTCATACATACAAATAAAACCCATAAATATGGGAAAAGGCCTAGTTGGCTAGTTGCTTGTGAAGCAAACAATAGGTATTAGACTAATAGTCCTGTGAGCTCTAAGCTACGGTCTACAGGTTACATAATCTTGATGATTTTTACACAGTTGGGAATTCAAACACCATGTAGAGGATTCCAGTAAATGATCATGATCTCATATCATGCACTACCATATAGATATACACATACAATTACTGTAAACACATATAATCAAAAGAAATTAGATTTTCAACATTCACTGGCCTATTAATCAAATGATTAAAAAAGACCTGACATCATGGTAAATGAAAATTCAGAACTCACTGCCAGTAATTTCAGTGAATGTAATGGTACTACACGATCATCATGATCAGCTGTCAAGAGCATGGTAGATGGGTATTGGCAGGTCAAATCGTTATGCTGCTCCCATGGTCTCCTCACGTTATGGAGTGGTGAGTACCTGAGAAAGAGACAACTATTCTTATCCCTCAAAGATCTCCAAAAGTTCCAAGTTCAAAATTCTAAAAACAATCTTATTAATTTGTTCAATAGATATAAGGAAACAAGGACAGAAATTATTTACTTGACGGAGAACTAAGTTGGTTTGTGAAATACACCATGGAAGGCCACTACAAGTGCCATGTTGTTATTGCATTTCCATGCTCACAGATAGGTTTTTTTGTTTTTGCTAAATGCTCACTCATAGGGTTGTCATTATTGTAAAAGGACAATATTATACAAGTGCCATGTAGATATAATATTATTCTCCCGTGTTCACTGATAGGGTTATCATTACTATAAAAGGGCAATATTATAGAAGCAGATATTACTGCCAAGACACACAAGGAGAAACCATACATCCAAAATAACACTCAACATAAAAGGACAACAAAAATTTCCCTTACTTAATTAGCCACCGAAATTCTTCTTCCTTGTCTGAACAACCATAATCAGAAGTCCATGCATGGCCTGGAAAATGAAAGGTAAATCACCATGCAATATTAAAATCTACTAGCTGATAGACCAAAAAATATGTAGACTGACCTATTGTGAACTTGTGGAAACGCAACATGTCCATAACACCAACATGAGCCAAAGCACATCCAAAAATATCAGGTCGCTGCCACCAGAAGCATTTGTAGTTTTACTAAAGGGTAATTTATGAAAATATCCAAGAATGGAAACCACTGACCTCGCATTGGATTCAGAATTAGTTGAGTACATTTATCAATGAGAACACACTAGAAACAGCAACTACCTGATTTATGCAAGCTGCAACAAGAAGCCCACCATTGCTCCCACCTTCAATGCACAGTTTTTTTGGCTGGGTATAACCAGCAGATATAAGAAATTCTGCAGCAGAAATGAAGTCATCAAAGCAATTTTGCTTTTTTGCAAGTGATCCTGCCTTGTGCCATTCTTCTCCATATTCTCCACCACCACGAATGTTTGCTATGCAGAATACTGCACCTAAATGCCTCATAAGGACAATGCGTTTGACACTAAATGATGGTGTAATGCTAATATTGAATCCACCATAACCATATAATAAACATGGATGTGATCCATCCAAAAGAATATTTTTCTTAGACACAATGAATATTGGTATTTTGGTCCCATCCTTGCTGGCTGGAAAAACCTGAAAGTTTGAAACAAAGATTCAATTGGGAGAACAAAAGGAAAAAGAATAGCAGAGAAAAGGAAAAAAAAGCATCACGTCTTTAAAGGAAATTGTACAGTATGTAATCCCCAAAAAAAAGAGAAAATTAAGCAGGAAGTTATGCTGAGCACAAATGGTGACAGAATACTGCTTTAGTCATAAGTTTAATTTACATTTGGCAAAGTAATAGTGCCCCTTAACCTTAAGAGTTGACTTGGATTTCAATTATTAATCCAGGTTTTTTTTTCTTTTCTTATGAAAAGGACTCCAGGCTAATGGTACCATTTTCTCACTGAGAAGTAATGTAGTACCAACTACCAACTACCAACAAATGATTTCAAACGAGAACATAAAATTGCCAAGCAACTCAATCTCGAGAAATAGAAAAGGAAACTGCATTTCAATTTAAAGCTTTCCCTTCTTTACAACTTGAGTTAAAGATAACCAATCACATGATGAAATAGTCATACTGCAGCACAAATGGTTATAGTGGGATTTTACCTGATTAACCTGGAAGTCCGTTCGATCAAATCCAGGAACAACAATTTCTCGAAATATCTTCAATTCTGGAACCTCAGATTCTAAGTTGCACTTATAAATAATACCAGGAGTAAGGAAGCTAGTGAACCCAATAAAAACCTCACTGTCTTTGCGCCTTCCAGAACTCCCATAAACTGTACCAATGTCAAGGGGTAAATGATGTAGCAATGAGCCTGTTTTCAGGTCCCTTATCTGCAGAACATATTTGACATCACTCAAGTAGCTTACCAGAATCTGGTTCTCATTAACAGCAACAGCTGATTCAAGCACATCTTTCTCAGATTCCTCGAGGACATCAGTCCAAACACTTGGTTCATTGAGATTCACCCAAACAAGCTTATACTTAGGAGCATCTTTATTTGTTTGAAATGTAAACTCGGTGCCATCATTAGCAATAGCATGATAACTGGCCTCAAAATTGTCAATAAGCTTGATAAAGGGAAGCTTCTCATCTCTCCCTTTAAAACCTTCCAGCCCACCAGGGAGTGTAGATATGTCACAATAGTAAAGCTTATTTACTGGATCACAACCCTCCTCTATATACAGAAGCACATACTGCAAAAAATTAAAAAAATATATATATCAATGGAGAATTATTAAATAATTTGTGCAAACCATAAATACATCAATTGGTCAGAAAGTGTACACAAGCAGGTAAGCTTGTTGGGAATTCCAGGATCCAGTATTGATTATAACTACAAAAGTGGTTTAAACATGTATTGCAGAGACTAAATGGTAAAAAAACTAAAGAAAGTTCATTATAGCAGTAAAATTATAGGAGATTTTTTTTATTAGGAACACTTTATTTTACCTCCACCAATAAATGATTTGTGGTTTAAATTCTTGGTAAATGGAGGTAAAAAAAGTCCAACTTGAGTTGGTGAATTTGCACATGAGAAATAGTTAAGCTTCTGAAGGTTTTATCTTGGAAAAAGTTTGCCTTACATAAAACTTGAGAGGCATTGCCTTATATGTTCTGTTCATTGTCATTCCCACCTCTGGGAAGGGAAAATCCTTTCCCTTCATGATGATGTGGCAGTAATCAGTACCATCCATAGAAAATCTCCAGACCCTTTTCATGCATATTAGAGAATAAGGCAATCTGTACAGATAGTCCAACAAAACTCTCTTTACAGAAGTGCAAATGATGTAACTTATTTCATTGGTGCAATAAAATATTATTTAGATTTATGCTGACCAAATACAGATATGAATACAGAGACCGGTATAGGAAACAAGGAGACAACTCCCCATTTCCTAAAATCCTGGATACGGTGTAAACCATGTAATTTGCTAATATCAAGCTTCTGTGTGTAGTTTTTGAAGCTAAATTTCATTTCTCAAGATTTACGTCTTGCCAAATTTAACTAAGTTTCAAAATTAAACAGATTTTCCTATAGTGTAATTTATCAGACCATGCCATTTTGCAAATTTTAAAAGTGTTAATGATACAGAGTACATCTACAGGTGTCCATGTGGTATCCAGTGTTGCATCCATAAGTATTATAACCAACACCGGTGCATAAGACATGTATAGGTATCACAGATTTAGATTCTCAGAAGAAATAGGAAATATCAGGAGAGAGAGAGAGAGAGAGAGAGAGGGAGGGAGGGAGGGAGTATTCTCTAATTAACTGCCTTGGTCAATGAATGATCAGAAGATCATTTAGAAAATTTACTAAGAAGTGAAGATCCTTTCATGATCATCTTTGTCATAGGTCACAAAAGCAGAGGAATTAGCATTCTAGATTGCAATATTTGTCCACTGATGCACTCCTTCAGTGTTTCAGCAAAAGATGATAAGCTAGTCAACTCTTTTGGCTCGTGGAACTACTAACACTTGGTTCTTCACCATTACTCACTCTTTGAACATACTCCAGTCTGGCTAAATAGGTAGATGCTGCCTCTTCAATCTAAAAATTGTTATTAAGGTGCAGAAGAAAGAGGAATTTAAACATCTCTGTATTCAGTGCAGTTTGGTTCAACACATCTGGAAATTTAGCACCCTCTTCAACTTACATCCAAAAATAAAAAGCAACAAAAACGCACGACTGTTTAGTTTTGCCCCCAACATTCCACCCTATTAAAGGTTCCAACCATAGCTTAGAAGCAACTGTAGCAGTTCCAGCATGGATGTGAAATACATGATAATGGAATTAATTGCTTTCCACTAAAGATATTTATGGAAAAAGGAAAAGGGCAATAGTCTGACTTATGAAAAAAGGTGAGGATTCAATATTTTTTTCCCTTTAAGGGATGATATTCCAAAGATTTAGATGGGACTATACAAACCATAATTTATATCCTCATAAAATAATTGGCATAGATGATCCTTAATCGAGAAGATCTCAAGATCTAAATGCCCTTCGGAGTCCCTCTTCTATATGGCCCGCCTTTTAACTACACCAGTTGAGTTTACCACCTTTAGTGATGAATGATGACATGGATAGAGGGTTATACCTTCCCATCGTCCATGACTTCGGCCGCAAACAGGTATTTTGGGTTGTCAGGATCTTTCCAGCACAGAACATCTTCGGATTGATCAGTACCCAAGAAATGGTAGTAAAGTTCATGGTAAAGATTAGCCTCCGTTTCAGTTCCAGCATCTAACTCTTCTCCTTCCCTACATGTCAATACCCGCCATCACGATGATGAATTCGATTAGCCAAAGACAGAAAAGCCGAACTTACTTGGGAGCCGGATAGCGGCTGTAGAAAAATCCTCTGTTGTCATGAGTCCAACTGATAGACGAAAATTTAACCTGTGAGAAGTAGATAAATGAAAATGAGCTAATATGGCCATATCCAGAAGGCCAAAAGAAAAAGGAAGCTTGTATTACTCACCCAGGATAGAGTATCAGGCTCGGCCGTCTTATCGCCGACCCGCATTACTTTGATCGTCACCCAGTCACTGCCACTGGAACTAAGCCCGTAGGCCAAGTACTTGGCATCCTCACTAATGGCGGATATGCTCAAAGCAACTGTTCCGTCCTCACTTAGCACGTTGGGATCGAGTAAAACCTCTGCCGTTCCATCAAGACTATCCTGAAATAGGCCCAGCACAAACCATCAACCCTTAAATCCATCAAGAGTTCACTTTTTCTGTCAACTGTTCAATTGGAGTCAACCCAACAGACCTGCACATAGAGGACACTTTGCGCTTGAAGCCCAGTGTTATGAAAGTAAAAGTATTTATCCCCACGCTTAAATGGGATTTCGAACCGAGGGTGATCGAAGAGCCTCGTAATCTCCTGACGAAGATTGTCTCTCGTATCACAAGTAGCAAGTACCGAATCCGTCAACTTTACTTGCTTCTCGACGAAATCTTTAACCTCATCGGCATCGGGATCTTCGAGCCTAACCAGAAAAAGGAAAAGAAAATAAAATTCAGAGTAAATTAGGGAAAGAGTTTCAACAAAATGTACATGATTGTACCATCGATACGGATCAGCTATTTTAACACCGTGATAGTCATCAACGATCGATTCATCTCTCCGGACAAAAGGGTACTGCAAGTGAAAATCTAATCCTTCAGATAGAACACCCATTCTAGGGTTGGAAGAGATCGCGCGAGAGGTACCAGAGAGAGAGAGAGAGAGGGGGAGAGCACGGATGAGAATGAGAAGGCTTGGGAAGAGTAGGAGTACGAGTTGAATAAGACTTGATTTTTTTATTTATAGAATAATTGCATTTTATTACCAACGAATCAGAGGAAGGTTGGGAGGCAAGCCAGCAGATACTGGCGGTAAGAAGAAGGCGAAGATATCGTGGCCTCGAGGGTGTGGCGGGCGGGCGAGAATATGATGAACTTTCTATGGCCGATGGCCCCCGTGCCAATCTGGGTACGGTTCAGGCGGGAAAATAAATGGATTGAGTCGGGATCTTCTGCGCGCACGGTGTGTTACACAAGTGTACACGTCAGACTGCCACATGTATATTGGTTTTTTGGTAGGGTAAATTACTAATGCCCCCTATACTTTCATTTTGTCATAAGACTCGTACTTATTTATTTATTTTTTTTTTTTTGGGGGGGGGGGGGCTACACAGAACGGGGGTAGCACGTCCCCAGAAATAAAAACAAGCGATTATGTTTAGAGAAATAGGAATGGAGTTGAGAGAAGCATCGTTTGTGTGTGTGTGGTTAGTTAGCCAGTTTACAGTTATATTTCCTTTTCTCAAACATTAGGAAGCACCTCTCCCTTTCTCTCTATTTATTTATCTATCTATCTCTCTTTCTAATCTTAATAGTTTATGTTTGTAGCATCTCCCCTCTTCATTAAATCCCTATTTTTCTTTTAAATATCTCTTAATCTCTTTTGGCTCTTTCTATTAAAGTACATGTATAAATTAAATGAATTGAGTTAGGTTAAGGGTCAACCTAAATATAAACCTTAACTTCGACCCAAATTAATGTCAAAAAACCCAAATTTACCCACCACTGCTTGGGGTGAACCAATCTTAAGGAAGCATTCCTTATTTCAAGTTTTTCCCTCTATTTTTGTTGATTTAATTTAATGTTGGTTTGTTTCATGGATTGTTCTAGTTCAATAATAAAATGTAGCAATAAAGGACTTAACATGAGTCTTTGGTTATCTTCATCAATTCAATTTTAAATTTTCTTTTTCGATTTGGTTATTAATCTCATACTAAGCACATTTTTTGGTTTTATAGGACTACACAATGGGAGTTGCGGATCCCCCCAACACATGTCTTAGTTATTGCTAGCTAGATAACATATCAATGGAGCCACCATCAGTTGGTTTATGTGTTTCTCATAATATATAAATTATACAAAAAAAGAAAATTTAAAGCTCATAACTAAAAAAAAGGAAAAAAAAAACTGTTTTTACTACACTACACATAAAAAAATAAAATACATAAAAAACTTGTGGTGAATCAACGTTACTCCATTTCTTTCCCTTCAAAATTATATTTACAAACAGCATCCCATGGACCGCACGGGTCACTGAAGTAGCAAATTAGCTAGAAAACAGGAGTCTATGAGTTACGCTCCCAACACTCGACTCCCATAATAATATAATATAAAGAAGAAAGAGAGGAGGTTAGGGACCTCTCACCACAGGCCTCACACGGACTCCTCTCAATTCCTACACGATGCACGTGTGGACTCAAAAGATAAAAATAAAATATTAAAAATTATAATTACTTCTTCTCCCATTACAATTTAGTATATTGTCCTATTTAATTCCCATAACCCATTATGTTCACTTTAATCCATCCTATTTAATCACCTAAATTCAAAAATTTAAGTTTGGCGAATAAATAACTAAATTCTCTATACGTTACCCATATTCCCACAACCCATTAGCTAATGCATCTTATTTAATCATCTAAATTCAAATTTAAATTTTACAAAGAATAACCTAAATTATTCTCTATACGTTACACCCTATTCACCTAATTAATCACTTAATTAATTACCATTAGTTCCACTTAATTTCACTTTAATCCATCTTATTTAATCACCTAAATTCAAATTTAAATCTGACAAGAAAAACCTAATTCCCACCACCTAAATTTAGAGGAGTCTTTAGTCTTTTACGTCTCACTCTCTTCCTTTGTCTTCTCAAGAGCCCCCCCGCTCTCTTTCCCTCTCTCTAGGTGCAAATGGATCAGATCCGCTCCGAAGTCCAATCATATATTCTTGGATTTGGATAGCCCCACTTCGGATTTACAGATCATATCGGATAATAGAATGTGATCAAAAAGCATATTGAATTTGAATCACCTCCTATCCGATCTGAGAATATTCAATCCGATATATATGTTATTTATTTATTTATAAATATATTATTTATATTATATTTTTGTAAATTTGTTATATTATTTGTTGTTTATAAAAAGCATGTATATATATGATCAAAATAGTTGGAAAGATACTTGTATTTTTTTTGTTTTTCTTTATTTAACTTGTTATATTTATTTTTCTTTTAATAATTTATTTATTTAAAAAATCAAATCAGATTGGATCAGATCCAAAGATCTGATTGCCTCATCGGATTCAAATTCAAATCCATATTTGTGAGATCCGATTGGATCTGCAATTAATAGTGTTGGATTGGATTCAAATATACCTTGATTCGAATCTGATCTGTTTGCATCCATACCTCTCTCTTCTTTTTTAACCTTTTGAATATTATAATTTTTATCTATGATCTTATAAAGCTAGTTACTTTCCCCCTTTTCCTTTTAGTTTTTCCCTTATTCTTTCCTTAAAATTAGGACAAGCTATTCAATTCCAAAATAACTTATTTTAATATAATAGAAACTTGTCTCCCAACATAGCTTTCTCTTTCTACCTATTAATGTTCTTTTCTTTTTTGTAGGGATCTATTTTCCTTTATCACCCTGTTTGTAATTGGAGTTTAATGTAAGTGTTGATCTTTCAAGAGGCGGCCAATGCACCAATTTTTTCATTGTGGTCTGATCTAATTTGCTACAAGGAGGTCTACACTGATCCATGTAGGGGTGTTAATTGGATTGGATTTGGTCCAATCCGATCCAATCCAATGTGAGTCCATTATAAATGGACCAGGTCCAATCCAATCCAATGAATGTTTTGGACCAATTTGGACCGGTCCAATTCAATGTATGGACCATCCAATCTGTTCAAATTCATTTTGATTTAGATTGGCTTCAACCCAAACCCGGTCCATTGACACATTATATCAATGGATCAGATATTGGCTTAATCCAACCCAATCCAATATAAATGTGTTATGGATGGATCAGGTCCAATCCAATCTAATAAACATTTTTGGCCAGATTGGTCCAATCCAATATGTCTTGTTGGTCTGTCCAATCCATCCAAATTGATTTTGGACTAGATGGGGTCCAATCCAAAACTGGTCCATTGACACCCTTAGATCCATGCACCGGTGTGGTGTTTTTAGTTTTTGTGATAATATGTTCATTTAATGATAATTTCTTTGATATCCCTAATTTAATTTATTTTATGGGGATGGTTTTTATAAGGGTGGGCATAAATACATTTGGAAAACCAATAAAACTATTTTCGAGGGGAGCTGAACTCTAAAGAACATTTATTTAAACATTTCATTTATTAATTTAAATATGATAAATTGGATTTGTTAACTAGATCATTTTTCCTCCCTTTCGTGCACCGCACAAGCTTCTTGCTAGTTTTTTAGTTATAGAAAAAGTCCAGTCCAAAAACACTTTGTCAGTATTAAACATTATGGGGGCGTTCTTATTTTGGATTTTGAGAGTGGGGAAAGTTGGTCAATGGGAATCCCATTGACTAAGAATCCCATGTTCATTTTTCAGATTAATGTGGGAAATAGGAAAAGTTTATTTTCCTAGGTATCACTTACCTTGAGGAAAGCTGCTTTCCTGGGTAAGTGATACCCATCTCCTAGGTGGATAAATAACTTTCCCACCTAGGAGGAAAGTTGCTAACACTTGAATAGAACAAAATGCTCCTTTTAAAAATAGATTTTTATGACTAAAATAATCATTACCTTATTTACCTAATAAATAAAAGGATATAGGCAAATGCATTTACCCAGATAAATGTTTCATAGGAAAAACTTACCCTGATGGATAAATCAGGGCCTATAAATAATGAAAGAGTTGATTTTAAATGGGCACAAAAGATGCTTAAGTGATCATTCTATTTGTCTGGTACAATGTTTTGTCACATGCAATAAAATATTGTAAATAGACAAATATACTAGAGCAGGTAAGTAGACAAGAGATTTCAACTTCCTCTGGATGGGCTGGATGTATATTGACTACCTAAAAAAACTGTTAACTAATAAGCCGATATTATCCAATTGGTAATTACTCAACTGCTATTTATTCAAATTCATATGGGTTTTTGATTGACTAAAGTTTTTTTTGGGTACCATATAATTTGTTTAAAAATATAGTATAAAACTTCAACAAGCTAATATAGTTGTGAAAACCGCAATTACAATGTAAGGAGTGGAGGAGCCGAATTTTTTTTTCTTAAAGAGGGCTAAAAGCTAATAAACATCGATTGTGGGGGGGGGGGGGGGAGGCAAAAGGGACGAAAATGTAAGTGGGATATAAATGGGAGATTTTTAAGGTTTAGGGGGGCCATGGCTCCTCTATACCACCCCTTAGCTTTGCTCCACTAAGGAATTAGGAATATGTCTGATATGGATCATGGAATTGGAAAATACAGCTTGGCGGTGTGAGAAGGGCCATGAATGCAAAAGAGTCGGGGTATTTCACCCAATGAAAATATGTGCTAGTATTGGCAATGTTCTTCATCGTCTGTAGAGGTGTTTTTAAATGATGTGCTTTAAGCTGCATTCAAGGGCTCAAACACCAGTCACTATAAGGCTTAGTAACTCAGGAGTGATGCCTTTGGACTTCGGTGTTGTCTCAAGCTGTTCGAGTTGAGATGGACGAACAGCAAATAAAATGTATGTCCTAATGAGCTGGATGAACTGAGATGAATTCGATGACCTGTGAATCCAAAAGGTCAGAGGCCCAAGGTGATTTATTGCTGACGCTCGAAAGGGTAAAAGTTAGCTGGGCTAAGCTAGATAGGATGGATGAACACACTCTGCACATTAATACCACCGTTTGATACACAACACATATGTAACTGCACACACAAGTATATATACAACCACATAAAAATCAGGTTGAAAAGCTTGTGAAGTGCACAATCACAATAACAACAATAAACACGATGTTTTAAAGGCTCACTTTGGAAGAAGTATAACTATAAATATATACAGTATTAATACAAAATACAAGATTTTGCACTCTTTAAATTTGTAT